TCATTAAAAATATTATACAAACATTATACAAATATTATACAAAATATACAAAATTATTAAAAATATCATACAAATATTATACATATATATAAAATTATTAAAATTAGAAAAATTTATAATTTTTTATAAAAAACACAGGAATTTTTATAGGCCTATCTCACCTCGAGCATTAGTAATTTTTTCTTGAATATTTACTTTTTAACAAATTACAAATAATAGTTAAATAATTAATTTTACTGAATAACCTTAAGAAAAATACCTAAATGCTTTTCAACCCTCAGTTTCTTTTTTTCTACAATTAAAACATAAGGAAAAAATAGTCCTTTTTAAGAAAAGTATATTTTAAGAACAAAAGTGTTGAGCAACAAATGTACTAGATTTTACCAAATCCAAACCCTTTTTTACATTTATTACTTTCACAATCAATGATAATATCTCAAAAAGTTCTTTTTCAACTGTAATATAAACACAACAAAACAAATTTAAAAATGTGCAACAGAAATTTATTATCATTATTTCAGAAATAATACATAAGGTTATTCTCTTAAAAGATATAAAAAGATTAAATAAATTTTATACTTTTATGTACTTTAATAATAAAATCACTTATTTATGATATTCATTAATTTGATGGATCAAATGGATTTGCATCAAATAATGGATTTAATTAGTATTTCACAATTTATGGCTTTTCTCTGCATATCTATATCAATTTTATTAATAAATTATAGGATATCATAATTAATTCTATGATTATGCCTTGAGATAATAGGATAATTTGAATCCAACCCAATATAATTTTTTTTTTTTCATTAAAATATTCACGACACTCTTAAGTATATAAAAATGAACTAAAAATAAGAAACAATACCGATATCTCAACCACCATCTAAACAAGATAATTTTGTTTATTAAAAATATGGCGATAATTATGTATTATTGTAATTTAAAATAAGCTTGTTGATAGTAATAATTATATTTAAAGAATCTGGGAATTTTCAACATAGATTAAAAATAATAAAAAGCAAAATTATCTTACAAAACTTTGTATCTCATACGTTTGTTAAAGGTTTCTTTGTGATTTTTTTTTTTTAGCATTAAAGCAATCTATGAAGATTGTAAAATAAAGGATAAGTATAATGATTGCTAAAATAATTTAGATGATATCTATGTAATTTTTAGTCTAAATGATTCTTGTGTATAATAATGTTTTAAATATCATATCCCAACCATTTATTAGTAAGGCTTTTTATAATCCTGAAAAAGAATTATATTTTTCTAATCTTAGTAAACTCTTGCAAATGTTATAAAAGTATTAATTAAACTTAAAAACTATTTGTTAACTCATACATTATGATAATTTTTTCATACACTAAAAGTACTTCTAACAAAATATCCTAGTGTATAATATTTTTTTCAACCATTAAAGTGACAAAATAACTAATAAAAATATAAAGAATTAAAGTAATTGGCATGAAAGATTGATGAGCAAGCTTGGGTTTTAGTTTTTAACATTAAATTTTCCATGATTATATTCTCCATTTTATTCAATATCAATAAACTTTAAAAGCTGAGGAAATTAAACAAAATCTAAAAGAGGTTCAACTGTTAACAAATCATTTATCGAAAAATAAATCTCAAGATTTTCTGGGAATTACAAATTAATATACCTTAAGTATTGCTAAAATTAAAGGATTGACAAAACTTCAAAAAATAATTCATCTTAGCCTAATAGTAGACCTAAACCAGTGATTCTAGACAAACTGTAAATGACATTTTAATTAAGATTTTTCAAACTTAAAGAATATTCCTTCTGTTTTTAATCCAAATATGTTGGATATTGTAGTATAATCGATTTTTCAACATTTTCCAAAACAGCATTATTTATATTAGAAACAGTCTGACTAATTTAAATTTTCAAGACTGGTCTAAATTCAAGTAATTAATACACTTCAACTTAGGCAATAAATTCTCCAAAACTCACATCTGATCCAACATCCTATAATATATATAAGCTGCTATTCCATTTATTCTCGTCTATATTTAATAATTAAAGATTTATTGTTTCTGATAATGGTTAAGCTGTTTATATCTTTACTCTTTAATCAAATGATATGCTTATGTATTACTTATTTTATGTTATATTTAGATAATTAACTATTAAGGATGGAGCTTTGATGAATGTACATTAGCTAGGAGAGTCTATTGTGATTGTAATACAAATCCAATTTTATTCAATTAAACAATCAAAACATCCATCCGCTGCTTAAGAATTTCCATCATCACACTATTCTTATTCCGAAAGTAATCCATCTCCACATAAATCTTATTCCTCAAGTAATCCATCTCCGAATTGTAATTCTTATTTACATTAATTTGACTCTAGCAATTAGTATTAATTATTGCACTCTAAACAAGTACCTTGATGACAATAATAACAATTTTCTGGGCAAGAATACTTGCAATTAAAGCAGCCATCATAAGGTCGTAAATTACCATCATCACAATCCTCTTCTTTTGTAATTACTTAATCACCGCAAATAGAAAGACAACTATTATTAACAAATTTATATCCATCTTCACATTTCAAAATGCATTATCCTCGATCACAAATATTACAACCTTCAATGCATTAAAACTTACATTAAAAACAGCCATCATAAGGTTGTTCATTGCCATCATCACAATCCTCATATTCTTCAAGAATGATTGTATCTCCACAATAAGGTAAACATATGTATTCTTAATTTTAATACCCTAATTCACACTCTAAGCAAATTGATTAGTATGTAGTTTTACAATGTGCCACGGATATAAATCTGCAATCCTAACAGCCATCCCACACACCATTCTCTGTCAGTTCACATTATTCAGCTGAATAAGGAATTAATTCACCATCCCCGCATATAGGATTGCAAGTAAAATTACTATTAATATTAAATCCATCTTAACATTCCAAACAAATCCCAAATTAACATGTCTTACAAAAGTCTATGCACTTATACTTGCATAAATAACAAGAATCATTAGATATTATATTGCCATCATCACATTCTTCTTAACCTTGAATGATACCATCACCACAAACTGGATTACAATTTTCCAACAATTCATCATAAGTCCAACCTTCTTGGCAAATCATGCATCTATCTTCAACTTACTCTAAACAACCAGCATTTAAATTATTAAACATTTTTTCTGGCTAAGTGTAAAATATATCAAAATCTCTAATATAACTGACCTAATCAGATTATTCAGTTTTAATAATAAGTTATAATATCAGATCTTTATGATTTCTAATTAATATTTCTATTTACTAGTTGGAAGAACTAATTGTTTATTTACTATAAAAATAATCTACTATTATGTTATTTGATAATTTAAAAAATCTTATTAATACATCTTAATGAGGAGGTAATTGAGTAGAATATTAAATTTCTTTAAATTCCAAAAATTAGCAATTATCACATTCTGGTACAGGTATATAATTTACTTATCCAAAAGTCCATCCATCAGAAATTTAGATCAATTTCTAACTAAAAAAATATGAATGCATTATCCATGATAAACAAAACATATCATAATTCTCTATGCATCCAGCGCAATCATACTAGCATCTTAAGATGCTTAAACTTAAAGATATTAATCCTCCATGATCTGATAGAATAAGTATAGAAACAGTTCTTCTATTATGTTACCAAGTGATAGAAATAGTATGTTCATATTCTTGGTTTGTAGCACCACAAATTGAATTTTCAGATACTACATCTGATACATAATTTATTGATACAGCTTCTACCCCAAAAGTAAGGATATTATTACCATCGACGCTTTTAAAATTAACAAAAATACATTTACCTCAAAATTTTTGCTTCCACCATAACATGAGAATGAGGTTCAAGATCGTAAAACATTTGACTAAGAAAATACACACCACTATCTAATCCAAAATAATGAATTCCATCACAAGCAAAGAAATCTTTATTATTGTTAGTATCCCATCCTAAAATAAGTTATAAGATATTACCATTATTTACGTTAGAGCTTGCATCAAACTAATAAACAAGAGTTTAATGAGTTATATAGACTAAAACAAGGCTTATTATCATTATCGACTAGTGTGAAAATTTTGAATAAATTTAAATTTTTTTTATAAATTAATAGAAATATTTACATTTAAAAATATAATTATAAAGAATTTTTAATTCTATAAATTTATAAATAGGACTTAAATTACTCTAATTCTAAATTATTTTCTTATGGAATTTTATGATATAAATCTACTTTGAATCAATATTTGTAATACCTGATATTCCATCATCCATCCTAGATACTGCTTTTTTATAAAAATATAAAAGAATGTTCACCTTCGATTTTTTTCAAGAATGTTAGCAAAATGGCTTTTTTGCCTTGTTGAAATGTGAGCCCAAACTAGTCTAATTAATATTATTAATTGCAAAAAGAATTATAAGCAATTTTTTTATTTTTTTAATAAATCATAGATTGAATATGGCGATTCAATATTAGTCGACTATTGCAAAGTTTTCAAAAAATTTAGTTTAGTGGCTATTGTATGATATGAGTATATTTGATATTCAGATATATTATCATTTTGTTAAATTAATGTCATTTAACTATATTAATATATCTAAATACTTTCAGAAAAGATAAAAAAATTCAATTTAGTTTTTTAGAGAAATATTTTTTAGATTTTAATCACTTTATTAAAAAGTATGAAATTAATATCTATAGTTAAGGAGGTGATTATAATTTCCTATTTGATTTTAAAGTTGTAAGATATTTTAAATTTTACTTTAATCAATACATAAAATATAAAATCAGTAATGATAAATAATAAAATAATGGAGGCTAATAGATATGCTAATATGTAGATGTATAAAATAATATCCATTTTTTCATTAATAGCATTCTTATGATAAAACACTAAATGTTACTGATGAGCAATTTTTACCTTAATAAATTCCTAAAGTGATAATAAATTCTTCAACTCTACATTAAATACCTTAAGAAAAACCCTTAGTATCAAATTTAGCAAATTAAATTGTTAATGAAGTTACTCCTCTTATTAATTAAATTTTACTCCTTAATACTAGATAGTAAGAATAATATGAATTAACTCAAATTAAGAACAAAATTTTGGTTGAAAGAAATTAAGAAAATGAGTAGAGTAATTATGATAAACTGCTTTAAGATTCTAATTATTTATTATAACTAAAAGAACAATAAATTACATAATTATATCATAATCAAAAAGAAATCATAAAAGATCATTAAGAAACACTTAAAGAACTCAAAAAATAAAAAGATTTATTCATGTTGAGACTCAATTAAATGAAGTTATTAAATAAAAATAAGATAATATCATTGAAACCTAACAATAACCGATATTCACTTTTTAAAATTCTTTAACGTTATCTGAAAGTCTCAAAGAGCTAATTGTTAAGGTATTATAAAATGGAAAGTTATATTGTAATAAGAGTCTTTTTTATTCAGGTTTATGTGATTAAGTCATTCAAGGTATTGTAAAATTTGGTTATCTCATACATGGAATTACTAATTAGACTATGGTTGGAATAGGAACAAGAGAAATAATTTCTAAATCTGGATATTCTAATATATCAGATTCAGGTAAAGGGTAAACTATATTTATAACCTTAGAGCCTCTCTTATTATTATGAGTAGTGGTTATTGTTTTAGTCATAATTAAAAAGAGAAATATTAAATATGGAGATTACAGGTCAATAGTTATAAATTTAGTTCTGAAAATTAAGTTACTAAAATATAGGGTTCATTATGTTTAAGCTCAATTTTATTAATATTTTTAATAATTAAAAGGAAGATATTTATGAATTATGACAAGGGATCTGCCATAATAATATCTTAACTGAACTCAATAAACCTTTTTTTCAGTTTGCTCATAAGAATTTATTTTTGTTTTCATTTATCAATATTAATTTAAATTATAATCAGATATTATGAATTATTTACGGATTTTAGCAAATTTCTAACAAATGTAAGTTAACAAATGATGTAGACTGATTTGATTTCAAATCTCTTGAAATAAAATGAATATATATCTCATTTGGTTATTAAAGTCTGAATAAATGAAATTTTTGAGATTTTAATCTTTATGGCATTT